GTTTATCTATGTTTCCCTCTTATCTAAAGTAGGGAAGAAACTCCTTTTCAAACCTCCTTCCTTTCCCTACATCTCAGCATAAAGAATGGAACAATAGCTTCTAACTAATCACCCCTATTCAGAAAGAAAAACCGGCATACTTTAATATTTAACCTCACTAACATCCAAGGAAAAAAACCACAAACCACACAGCATAAAGGAGCGGTCAGATGGTTAAAGCTGATGTGTGGAAAAAACATTTTCTGAGTTATCAATTTCCTGATGGTGTCCTGTAGAGAGGAACAACAATGCGTGTGGGTTCTACAAAATAAAATCGGAGGTTATTAGGGATTAGGCTCGGTGATAGGTGATAAAACCTATGGCAGGCTGTTTTTACATTTATTAAAATCACTCCTCTGTGTCTTTCCATTTGTAGATGACTAAAATAAGATTCTTCCTCAACAAATCACACTCCTAGACTGAAATGTAATGCTACATTTTCTAAATTACATTTGTAGCAGAAACTGAATTTTAGGAAGTAAAACATAAAACAAAACTATACTAGAAAGAGTTATGTTGTATATCTAGAAAGGTTTACACATTTTAATTGGCTGTTTTGGCTGAATATGTATTTATGATATTTGAATTACATTTCTTCATAGTCAAAATAATACAAATGATGGATTAATTTCTAGACATCCAAAATGTTTATTCTAGATGCGTAGAATAACAATTTGTTTGAGATGTTCATTTAGACAAAGAAAGTTTTATTATTTTCAGATATGAGGAATAAATATTCAGTAATAATTAGGCCTGTCACGATAACAAATTTTGCTGAACAATTAATTGTCTCAAAAATTATTGCGATAAACGATAATATTGTTTGAAGACCATTTAACACTGATTTAATTGAAATGAAGTAATAATGCATGCGATTTCTCAGTCTCTGTTAACTAAAAATACACTTGAATAAAAACTAAACACAAATAAAACTACAGTTGAAATAATAACGTATGTACAACATATCACGTTTGTGATATGCATGTTTTCCTCGGGAGTTCATTCTGTCTATCAAATGTCTGCAACATTTTTCCAAATGCCGGCTTTTCAACAATATTAAGTGGCAGCATCTCTTTAGCAATTACATGAACTACGCTGTCTGTGAGCGCACGCCACTTTGTGGCGTCCTTTTTATATGCTGCCTGTTGATTAATTGCTTCAGTGATGGAGGACTGTCGCGAACTGGAAGATGCAGGCGGGCCACCGAAATACTCCCACACTGCGGCTGTTGTGCTCAACTTTGAAACCAGTTCCATTTCGAGCTTTTCCCCCAACATAGGATGTGTTTTTTTTTTTACCTCGCTAACTCCTCTAACAGCACTAAAGCTGCAGAAGTACAAAATGATGCGCTCTGACTACCTGATGCGATAGTCCACTCCTCCTCACTCCTCATTTTTTCCCTTCCTAAAAAATTAGGAAGGGGAGGGGTCAGTGGATACTACCGGAGTTAAGCCTTTTCATCCAGCGTCATCAATAGAAAGAGAAAAACACAGGCACTGACGATATAGCCGATAAAATAAATGACATGGATAGTTTTTATTTATCGTGCCATTAATTGATTTATTGATTATCGCGACAGGCCTAGTAATAATACATTTCAAAATGGCTTGCCATAGCGGTAGTTACTGCAATAATATTAAGAGATTATTACTTGAATTGGAAGTGGATTAATGTACCTATTTAGGTGAAATCATTTGGCAGCAGGTGAGGATGGAGAATAAAAATGTTCTAATAGATGGAACCTCATCATCTTTTACACGGTAAATACTGTCTATTTGCAGCCACTTCAGATGTTATCGTACCAATAAATGGTCGTTATTAGCGGCTATCAGACTTCAGGCTGAGCCAGTAGGCTCATTATCATCGAGTGAATCCTAATCCTAACCCGAAAGTAATTCCTTTTTCCCCAGGGAATTAATCTATTTCTGTGGAATCTGAAAATGATTTCATTAGTTCTTCATGTAATGTAAAAAATAAAAGATTATCCAGATGTCGCTGATATTAAACAAACCAAAAACACATAAATCTCATTTCCTGTCAACTGAGTTGTAGGATCGTCTCCGTACAAATATTTAATTCTCTGTGAAAAAGTGCACAGATAAGACGGTACCATCAGGTTTGCTTTGTCAGAGTCAGCAGCAGAATAACAGTTAAAGAATCATTTTATAGAACTACAGCATCACAGCCTGCCATATCATCACATCATAACGTCTGTAAATGAGGAGACATCCCTGCTACAGCCATATGTAATAATACAGCGAATCAAATACCTTTGATCAGCTGTGGTTGTTTTTAAGTGCTGCTGTAACTCCACTATTTCCCCACAGTGGGCCAACAAAGGGAGTTTCTATTCTATGTAGTGTATATCTGCTGTTTATTTAGTAATGTCTTCCAAAGCTCTGATGCCTTCATGAAGTTCTCCCTCCAGCCCTGATGTCAACAGTCTGTTGATTTAAACTAAACTCCGCTGCAGTGCTGAGGCATCCTTCTACTGTTCTGCTTAAAGCAGCAGGTTAGGGCAGCAGGATGACCTCCCCAAGATGGCGCCCGTAATGTCTGCGCAGAGACAGTCAATGCGGGGTCTACTCTAATATTATCTCTATGGTAGAGACGGCTTTCTGTGATTGCAGTGAACTCGGAGCGAAGAGGAGGTTTAACCGGAGAAAATTACTAACCTGACCGCAGTCATTAAAACCCAATGCTGGAAGTGAGCGAGCTGACCGCAGTAAGATGGCCGCTGACCGTAGGTTAGCTTTAGCTTAGCATGTTGATCTCCTCTAAGCAGTTTTCCAATCAGGTGAGGCTAAAATCCACAGTGTGCATCATCAGGGAATCGTTTCTATCAGGTGTTTCCTACCTATCCGGTGTAAGATGATCTGGGGGATCCTGGTGAAATCCAGCAGTAGATGTTGATCGTCCATCTTTTCCTCCGAATTGACCAAACTCCCTTTAAACTCCGTGAATGTTTCTTCAGCAGGAGTTAACTGCTCGGTGATAAACTCTCCTTGAAGCTGGACTGAAGACATTCTCACTGCAAACACTCCCAGATTATCAGCCTCTCTACAATGACTCCACACACAAGCTAAGCTAATGCTGCTAATGCTACCCGAGCCCGAACAGCGAAGTACACTTCGCTGCAGCAAACAGAAAGGGGCGGGGACGGACCACTGTCAGTCTCATACCTTACATGGAAATGGGACCATTTCATTCCGGAACTGACGGGGGCGCTAGTGACACTATTTTCTGTACCGACCGTTTCATAATAATTATAATAATAATAACGTATTTTATTTGACAACGCCTTTCAAAACACCCAAGAACACTTTCAACATTAAAAATACTAATTAAACAGTAAAAAAAAGGCTACAAAACGTGATATGTCACGTGGCATGTCTTTCACGTGGTATGTCCCTTTTTTATTTTGAAATCTTTATTTAAAATTATCTTAGTAACAAACAATCTAAAATAAGCAACAATAAGGAATCATTATGGAGATGTATTTATCTATCCTTACACCCTATATATCTCTAACAAAAATCGTAAAAAAAAAATAAAATCAATATTTTGGAGACAAATGTACATTACATTAAGAGCACATTTATCCATCCATTAATTTTTATGAATTATCCTCAAGTGGGGTCATGAAGGCTGCTGACCCTGGACAGATCCCCAGTCCATCGCTGATTAAGAAAACAGATATAAACAAATACATGCTGGTGCTGAAGTTCAAATAATATATTTTGATGTTGTGAACGGTACTCTTAAAATAAATAAGTTAAAATCTAAAATATAATAGCCTTTGGCTTATTTAATAAGAACTAGATGGAAAAGAGGTTTGGTCTGTAAAATATTTAGTCGACAATTTTGGCCAACTTAGTACGTCCATTCACGGTGCACTTTTGTTGTTTATTTGCCAAATATTTTTTCTTATTATTCTCATTGTGAATATAATTTACAAACAAACCAAAGGACTTTTGAACTTTTAACAAGTGCCATTCGGTAACTAGGATATACTTGGTTGCAGGTGACCTGGCTCAATTATTATCTCCTATAAGGACTCCAGCTCAACTAGTAAACTGACTGGTGTCCCACTATTCCATTTAGAAATACCATATTAATTTTATCAATTGCAATAAATTCATGAACTGCACTCCAAAAACATGAATATCCAATTGTAGCAAAACCCAAAGTGATTAATTAAAACCTTAAATGTAGCTTCAACCTGGAAAGACTCGCACAGAAAGTAGGTTTTAGAAAGTTCATTTGACAATAATCTTCAACTTTCTGATCCCGGCAGTAGACACTGTACTGGTAACGACCAGAGAGAATGATCTTTTTTCTACATGAAAACCTTTTTGAATAAAGTCTGTCTTCATCTCACCTGCTCAGCCAATCACCTGCTCAGGTGCCTCCCTCCCAGCCTAACGGCGCCGGTCTCAAGTCCTTCACCCTTCATAAAGTCCAGCTTGATGTGTGCAACTGCTCCTCACCTGAGCTTCCATCACCTCCACCCTGATTACACCTTCGCTTTGCTCGTTTAATCTTATGTTTGTATCTGAACAATATGTTTCTGCAACTTATTTTTTATTACATAAAACAAGTTGATTCTAACTGTTAAAACATAAACAACTTGTCTGTATGTCAGGTTTGTAAAGAAAATTTGTATTGATTCCAGTCATTGTTCAAAAATGTATAGGAAACATTGTATATTGCAAGTTATTAGCTTTGCTTGCATTTAAAATTTTCCAATTGTTAAACAACGCTGTTACAATATATTTACAACTACTTTATTGGTTCTACTGTCTCTCCAACAAATTACAGCCACAATGTAACTTTGTGGAAACGACACCATTTCTATGAAAACTAAATGATGTAAATCAACTGAGCTACAACAAAAGGAACTTTCAAAAATGTAAATAATATTGAAAGAACACATTATGAAAAAGGAGGACTGCACAAGCCAAAAGGTAAATATTCTTTATCAGAAACGATTTCAAATGGCATGTCACAAAAAAACTAACAATATGTGACAGATTGTGGAAAGCAACTTATATTTTCTTTGAATTCAATGTTGGCACTCAGGGCAAAGTCCAGGTATGCCATCACAGTAGTAACGAGGGTACTCTCCTCTCCTCTGCATCTGAAAAAAAAAAAAAAAAAAAAAAAATTAAAAAACAGGTGCATTGCAAGACTGTAATACAGGAAGAATGGATGATACATATGATTATGAATGAATCTTACCTGTAAGATTGGCGGTTTCCTTTCTACCTGCATGGTGAAGAGCATTAAACAATAATTAATACTTTATATCTCTCAGTATCTTATCCTTTCATCTCTAATGATATAAAAAAAGTTGTCCAAATAATGAATTTTAATTAAAAAAAAATCATTTAGGGTTTTAGTCTCATTTGCACATAAAGATACACAAATCAAAATTACTAGTTATGTGTAAATTTAAAAAATGAACCTCAATTTGTGCCTCGGCTCCTTTGGCATAGGTGTGGTCATCAGCACACAGAGTCTGTAAAAATACAGATATGTTCTAAGTGAAAGATGAATGCAAATCCAAATAACATCAAAACTGCTTCAACCCTTTTAATTCTTCTATCCTGATTTTCTTTCAGACTAAAAAAAATAAGCATAGAACAAAAGTACACTGTGAATGGACATAATACAAATTCTATGACTTAAAACAACAAAGTGATGAATTTTAGCCATAGCTTACCTCACATTTTGCCCTCTCATCAACTTTTTTCCGCTTTCTCTCCTTTTGTAGTTCTTCTCTGGACCTTTTAAAAAGGACAAATTGAAGGTTTTCTTAAAAAACTGAATCTAGAAAAGCGTATTAATTTACTATGTGAAAAAAAATTTTAAGAAGGTAAAATTACCTTTTGTTGATTTTGTGGGTTTTGCATTATGGATCGTGTGCCGAACACCAGTGCAAAAACTTTTCAAACTTCTTTCTTTCTTCTTCCTTTCCTCTTAACCTCACGTCTTTAAGGCAGTTATACTAGTGATTATGAAAATCGCGCCCCCTTCATTTCCGGAATGCAATAGTCCTATTTCCAAATAAGGTATGGGACTGACGGAAAGGTCCGTCCCCGCCCCTTTCTGTTTGCTGCAGCGAGGTCCTTCTCGATTTTATCGCTCGACCGGAAATGACATCACTGATCTCTAATCCCTGGATTGCTTTTTTTTCTTGAAAATCTTACAAAGTAGAAAACAATGACAGGGCGACTTGTTCATGCATTTGAATTTAACACAACATCTCAACAGATAAAGTCAGACAGTAACCTGTTAAACCATGAAATGGAGCATCATTGCACAATAAGCAAATAAATAATAAAGACCCTAAAATGATTCAAACACACCATAAACATCACATCACTTAAACACTTGAATTATTACTGAAATAAAATAACACAATTGTTGGTTCTAAACATCTGATTTAAAGTTTAGAATGATTTAATCAGACAGAGAGTTATGAGCAAATTCTGATATTTAAAAGTAAAATTAAATACAATTCAAATAAATAACATGATTACAAGTAACATTATTTTAACATAAACTTAGAAAACAATCTTTGCCGCAGGTAATGCATATATGGAAGTAAAAGATAAATAACTCTACAGCTAAAATATTGACTCTTTTCTGTATTTTCACCTGATCTCTAATAGATCCTGTTCCTCATGGTGTGTAGAGGAACCAGAACATTTACTCAGAAAGAGCAGCGATACTCTCATTAGAATATTACCGAAATAAAAAGCAAAGTAAAGTATAACTACTCATGAACGTGAATTATTTTCTAAAATTTACTGCATTAAATGTAACTAGTTACTATCCATCTCTGGCAGTTTGTTTAGGTTGAATCAGATCAATAACATCACTCTCTTCTTCCTGTCAGGCATGCAATCTAAACTAACTTTACTTTTTTAGATCAACTAAGATTCAAACTATTTCTATAGATTTTTTTCTGGTAAAGCCTGCATCTGAATGTAACGGAACAGGATTTTATTGACTGATTATTTCAGATCCACTTCCATCTTAGTTTCTCAGTCAGTCCATAGCTCCATGGTTCCCAGTACCAGACTGGGAGCTGGAACTGGAAACTGGTTCCTGTGGAGCAGCATGGAGTCCTCGGGCCTCATGCAGAGAAGAATGTGCAGCTTTCATGATCAAAGTTACAGGCCTAGGCCAGGCTTAAAGATATTTAGAATGACTTTGTTTGATCATCAATAAAGATGATCAATAAAGAATAATAACATCTGAAATGTTGCATCAATGGTTAGCTCCATTGCCTGTGTTGAAGAAAACCTTTGTTTTCAGGTGTACTTATCAGAATAATTCATACTTTATTGTAAATGTGTGAATACAAAATCATTTCTTGTTGCAGTTATTTCCATCAGTGACATTACTAAACCTGAGATGGTTCCTCTCATTTTCTAAGTCTCCGTTAGGATGCAGGTCACCCTGTTCCAGTTCTCAATATATTGTGCACTGTTGTCCTGTGCACTTAAGTGCACTTCCTCCATGTGCGCACTTCATAGAGAGGCTTAGGGTTTAGTGTGAATACGAGGTGTGTTCCAGTTGAGACCTGTACAGATCCGATCAGTATAGAGCTTGGGAATAGACTCATTTTGGGTTGTCAGCCATTTTGTATGACACGTTGCCTGACACAAACATAAACAACAGACAAAAAGAAGAGCAATTCTTGGTTTCCTCATTAAAAGAAGTTTAAAAGCAGCCATACTAGGAGAACAGAGTAAATGAACAGAGTGATCCCTATGAAAACAGTGAGGTGACTACAAACCTAAGTACGTTTTCTATTCTCCACTAGCAGGTGATTAATTTCTACGCATCTTTTAGAACAAGATCTGTTCTCTTTTCTTGTTTTACGTTTCTCCCTCCTCTGATTTCTGCTTAGCTTCATCCACTTCCTCACTCAGTTCTGTTTTATTCATATCTAAGATCTAACCTGTTTAATCCTGCAGGCTACAGGTGCAGAGATATCCCCTCTGGGAGCTCTATTGTTAGGGCTCTTCATTTGTATCATTTTGACTATGAAGAAATATATTTCAGAAATAAATATATATTTAATCAAGCTGATAAATGTCAAAATGACCACCTAAAATATGTGAACTTTTGTAGGTATATAAAACTTCATTCTTACTAGTATCATTTTTTTTTTTTTTTTACTTTCTGAAGTTCAGTTTCTGCTGCAAAAATGTAATTTAGAAAATGTATTAAAGTTCAGTCTAGAAGTGTGATACTTTATCAAGAACAATCTCATTCTAATGATCTTTAAATGGAACAACAGAGTGCTTTAAATAAATATGAATAACTTAAACATTAAGTTGAGCCACAATCTTCTCTCTTTTGCAGCTGTAGAGCTGTTTGTCTTATAAACACCTCCAAGTAATTAACGCAGGCAAAAAGAAAAGTGTTTTTTAGGTAAACTCCTGTGTACATGGTACTTGTTGATGGCATTAAAATAATTTCTAATAGCATTAAAATAGCATTAAATTTAATATGACATATTAAAAAAATCCCCATCAGCTTTCAGCATATGTTCAGTTTCTGCCCAAATATATATATGTATATTTATGTGTATATATATATATATATATATATATATATATATTATCATTATATTATCATTCAAAACTGCTTTTTTTGAATGAATTTTGTTTGTTGTCTACTCCCAAACTCAGCATCTCTTCATCCATTAATGTAATAAGAAGTTTCTTTTGAATGGATTTGATTAAACTTTTAGTCCCTCGGTTTAAAATAAATATTTTGATGGAGATGAGAAATCTCCTTACTGGTTGGTGAATAACCAATAGTTTGCATCGTATCATTTAAATAAACAGTGTTAGTTTTTTTGGAATGTAAAAAAATTATGCTATAATTTCTAGTTACTGATCTGTTGCTACTATATTTTAATTTGACGAACCGGAGTTTCTCGATGTTCTGTGCGATTGCAATTGCGAATCTTGACCTGGCGGGACCGGAGCGGAGCAAAAAATAGCTTGGCTCCGTATTTTGTCGGTGACGGACAGACAAGACGTACGTGGATGGAGACGTGCGGAGGAGTAGCGGTGGATGTGGAACAGCTCTCATTGATTTACATGAAAGACAAGCGCTCCGCACGACGTACGTCAGCGGGACGGAGCGGAGTATGTGGAATCTGGGGGGAAGTCAGTCATTTTCAGTAACTTTGAAAGCAGCTTCCTACTTTCATTCTTCTTTCTTCTCTTTTCAGCACCGCTAGGGTAACTTTTCATCTTTCTTTCCTTTCTTTTCTCTTCTCCCCCGCTCTGCTCATATCTTCTCTTCGCGGTGTTTGTTTTCAAATAGTTTGCTGCCGTGTGTTTGGACCTTTTTGCCCATGCGCAGCAAATGGGCTGAACCAATGTAGTGCACACTGTAGGGGGGGCCCCGAGACACACTTAATATTATAAGCATTCTAATGGCATTTTAGCGAAAGGATTTTTATCAAAAACATAATGAATGTGCACAAATAAGTAATAGCTGTATTAACCATACATGTAAAAGGAGTTTTAGGGGGCCCCCCAGGAACTCGGGGCCCTAGGCAACTGCCTAGTTTTGCCTAATGGTTAATCCGCCCCTGCTGCTCAGTCACCTGTACCTGCCTGTCTGCCTTCTGCCTCAAGCTTTGGTTTCATCTGAGCCCCAGAAATCTTCCTCATCCCTGAGAATTGTTCAGCTCCTTTTACAATCATCTCAATCTGTTCAGCCTCGAGTTTAACCTGCTCTGTACAGTTGATGACAAACACAATAAACACAATCAGTTTGTCAAACTCTGTAGGGTTCCAGATCCTACTAAGTTGCTATGATCTTTGTCTCAATGCTTCACTGCGACCCAGGGCCGTTTCTATTGAATTATTTTGGTGTTTTTATAAAATTCAAGAAAAAAAGCGGGGGAAACAGGGGAAAGCATCTTGAAAGTAAAATAAATATATTACAGAATACATTTTCATATTAATAGTAAAAACTGATGTTATTTGAAAATGAATAAACATTTTTGAGAGAAGATATTTTGTCAGAGAATAAATCAAAGATAAATAGAAATTTGGAAAAAGACTTCCATGGGTAAAAATCTCTACAAAAATCTGATAACGCTAGAAACATTTTTCTCTCTCACAACCAGAGTCTTTGCTATGAATTCAGGATTTTTCTCCCAATGTGAAAAATATATCATAGGCGTGCCTGTGTTCCTATTAGCAGAATAGACAGCTTAGCACCAATGATCCGGCTCAAAGGTCCTTTATTAAATAGTTTAGATAATTTGTACTGTGGAGAGTTGAGTGTATAGGTGGGCGTGTCAGTTACAATACAAGATGAGAAATCTCATGCAGTCCAGTGATTTACTACAAACAGGTTTTCACAGCACAGCAAGCAGAAGGAAACAAACTTGACTTTACATCCAGCAGTGCAATTTATGAAGTAATCAGGAGCTCTAACTTACTTATTTATCTGTTGCGTCCATGTATGATCAGAAAAACGAACAAAGGAGAAATAATATTCACATTAACATTAAATAAAACCTGTACAATAAAACCTGTTTTACTGTTTATAGCTCAAACTGGTGGGTGGCCCTTTAAGGAGTTGTAAATTGACATCCAGGCCTCAGATGCCCTTTCCAGCTAGCGAGTAATGCAATGCTGCCATCTAGTGGACAAAAATAATAGCAACCTAGTAAGCTCAATGGACTAAAAATTTACCATGTTCTTTACAGAGAAACCATCTATTTCTGTCGTACTTTAACATACAAAGATGCCTTAAACTCGGATATACTTTTAAATATCAAAAGGTACATGTTTGCCATATATATGATTGTAGGCGTCAATGAAAGATAAAACGCCATTATCCCCATAAAGCCGAAACAAATAACAGGCAGCCTTGGTTTATGTCAGCATTTCTGACCTCACTTTAAACAGTGAACAACTCAATTGTTCCTCAATTTGCCGCCTTTGAATTGTTCAATCAAA